CCCATCCCCACGCCCCCGCCCCTCAACACCGACGCCTTCGACTGGCTCGACCTCTTCGCCTTCCTCAACTCCCCCGCCGACTCCTACCAGATCCCCCACCCGCCCGCCTCTTCGCCGCTGGCGGACGACGCGGCGGTCAAGGAGGAGCTGGAGCGGGCAATCGAGAGGGGGAGGGAGCGGGAGCGGGCGCGGCGGGTGGACCACCGGCGGCTGCGGCAGCGCCAGGTCAAGGCGGAGACGGAGGCCTGGGCGCGGGCCGCGGAGGAGTACCGCCAGCTCGAGCGCGAGATGCTCGACCGCCACCTCGCCCCGCAGCTGCCCTACGTCAAGTCGCTCTTCCTCGGCTGGTTCGAGCCGCTGCGCGACGCCGTCGCCAGGGACCAGGACGTGCAGCGCCGCAAGCGGGTCAAGCACGTCTACGCCAAGTACCTGCTCCTGCTCCCCGCCGAGAAGGTCGCCGTCATCGTCATGCACAAGATGATGGGCCTCCTCATGTCCAGCAAGGACGGCTGCGGCAGCGTCCGCGTCGTCCAGGCCGCCCACTCCATCGGCGAGGCCGTCGAGCGCGAGGTTAGTTATTACTCCCTCCGTTATTAATGGCCCGCTTCTAGGTGCAAATTCACGGTAGACAATTTTTTCGATACTATCTGCTATGACTTAGAAATACTAGCTCGTTTACAACAATGTGAGACTTAGGCCTAGTGATGGTGTGACCTTAGTGTAATTAATGTAGATGGACTGTAGACGTTGTTGTGCAGGGCTTTAATTTCCTTGTGATTTCCATTTGACTGGTCAATAATTTTACTTCATCAACATGCTCAATTAGAAGTTTGGCAATGAAATGAAGTTAACAAATTGGAGGAACCGAAGACATTATGCAACTGGTGGATGGGCTATGGGTTAGGATATTTTATCTCCATATTGTGTTGTGGTTTGTTAGCTGGATGACGTTGTTGACCTACTTTGTTTATTAAGATCCAATAGACATCATGTGAGTTGGTTGCCAATTGGAGATGGCATCTACGTTGCCTGTTTGACAATAAGTTTTCTGGCACTGACAATGTGAGGATTGCCAGATCAGAAATCATGTGTGGGGTATATATTATATTTATGGATGACAAAGCCTTGGATTAGGAATTAATCTTCCCCTGGCTCAGGCCTTGGCTATTCTGCTTGTGCGCTAGAGCTATATATGTTGTGGACTGGAGTTTGATCACGTTAATTAGGATGAACTCAATGCTATTGTAGGAGGCTCTTCACTTGGCCTTAGCGTCAGTTATTTTTTCTGTGTGTTGAAAGCTATTTATTGATCTGCAGTACAAAGTCCAGGCTTTCTTTCAGAAGACTAGGAGAAAAACTAGGAGCAAAACTGAAAGTGAAAATGATCCAGCATTAGACAAGGAACAGGCAAAATGCCGGAAACTTGTTAAGAGTTTGGTGAGGAGGAGGAAATTGACTGAAGCACAGAAGCTTGTGCAACAGGAGATTGAATTGGAGGAGTGGGGCACAGAAGCCCAAGTGAAGGTTTGTTTTCCAGATAGCATACCTACAATTACAGAGTTTTGTCTCATATGTTATGGAAGGTAATCCTCCTTTTGTGACTGCAGCTAGGAACTCGCCTGATTGAACTGTTATTGGATTCGGCATTTGTGCAGTCACCAGCTGACCAAACACCTGACAGTTCTCCTGATTTTCGACCTGCATTTAAGCATGTATTGCGAAAGCCTATTGTAGAAAATGGGTAGGGCTGCACATATTCCCAGTGTTTGCCTTTATTGCGTGCTTTGCTTTCGCATTGACACGCACTGTTGTGTCAGTATCATGTGCTTGCTTAGATTGGTTAGATCTGTTCTGACATTTCTGTTCAATGAGCAGGAGACTAAAGAAGAAGCACTTCGTGATAGAGTGTGATCCTCTTGTGCATGAGGGGTTTGAAAGCACTGTAAGTTTGTTTTGCACTGCTATGCTGTTCTTTTCTGGATGGATATAGACGTTTAACCTATAAAAAAGACCATCCACTTGTTTTCTTTTCCTTATTTTTACAATCTGGATTTTCTCGAGTGTCAACCCATCGAATTTGTTCACAAATTTACTTGCAATGCTCGCTGCATTGCAGATTCCATTTTCTTGTTTTTATCTGTTCAATGGAAATGCTTCACATGTATTTAGAAGTTTGAACTTTTTGCAGGCTAGACACGTGGAGATACCCTATCTTCCTATGCTGGTACCTCCTACAAAATGGAAGGGGTATGCTAGTGATTCATGCATTTGTCCTTTTTGAGTTAATTATGTTGGGTATTTACTAGTTCATCAATATTTAAAGTAGCTATGTATGGTTAATTAGATGATATAATTGATTACATCTTCTCTCTGGTGATCATTTTCGAACCATGTATTGTTTCAGCTATGATAAAGGCGGACACCTTTTTCTGCCTTCGTATGTTATGCGGACACATGGTGTGAAGGACCAGAAGGAAGCCATTAAGAGTGTTCCAAGAAAACAGCTGCGAAAAGTATTCGAGGTTTGCTGACCACTCATCTTTGACACAGCCTGCATTCATATTTTTAAACTCGTTTCCCTTGGCATAGTGGCACGTCACAAACACTCGTTTCCTTAGTAGTGAATGTTAGTCTCATAACAGCATGGTCTAGATATTCTTCCTGCTTTAATGATTATTTCTGATGTTTATTCATTTCTGCTTGCTTATTTTTATTGAATGATGAAAGCAGTCTGAAGCATTGTCATATTGGCAGGCATTAGATATCCTTGGGGGTACTAAATGGAGAGTGAATAGACGAGTACATGACGTTGTTGAGACTATTTGGAGTCGTGGTGGGGGTATTGCAGGACTTGTTGATAAGGGAAATGTGAGTCTACTGCATATTGTCAATTCTGACATTGTGAATACTTTGGTTCCTTCAGTTTTCATAATACGCTCTAGTGGCCACACATGTTTTTAACTACCTGTTTGCGCTTCCGTTTTGTTTATAGATTCCTCTACCTGAACAACCTGAAACAGAAGACCCAGATGAAATCCAGAAATGGAAGTGGAGCGTAAAGAAGACAAAGAAAGCTAACCGTGAACTGCATGCTGAGCGATGCGATACAGAACTAAAACTCTCTGTATGTGTTATAAAGAGGCGCTCTTACTTTCTTAGATATCACGGTCTATATTTTTTGGTATGGTATGCCGTTACTGAAGCTATACCGTTTCCACCTTTGTGAATAGGTTGCTCGTAAAATGAGAGAGGAGGATGGCTTCTATTATCCTCATAATCTAGATTTCCGTGGTCGTGCATACCCTATGCATCCACATCTGAGTCACCTAGGTTCAGATCTATGCCGAGGTGTTCTAGAGTATGCTGAAGGGCGGCCACTCGGAAAATCTGGTTTACGCTGGTTGAAGATACATTTGGCTAACAAATATGGCGGAGGCATTGAAAAGCTTTCTCATGAGAGCAAACTAGCGTTTGTGGAGGATCATTTGCCTGATATATTTGATTCAGCATCAAATCCTGTTGATGGGAACTGTTGGTGGATTAATGCCGAGGATCCATTTCAATGTCTAGCTGCATGCATGGATCTTTCTAAGGCATTAGAAAGTTCATCACCTCATGGTGCTGTCTCTCACCTACCTATTCATCAGGTATTGTCTTCGTTGAGAATGAGGCACACTCGCATGGGTTTCGACATTACTTAAATCATCACCTGTAAATAGAGAATAGGAAAAGGTCAATATCCTAGGATTGATCAAGGTTAATAACTCAACATATATGGACACCGAGGTGTTACTTATGCTTTTGCAATGAAAGCATTTGAGATATCTCTGCCCAGCCAGCATTTGTCACGACATTACTAATTACTGGTCACATTTTTCATCTTTTAGGATGGTTCATGCAATGGGTTACAACACTATGCCGCTCTTGGAAGAGACTATGTAAGTTCTTCCTGCTATAACAACTGAGCATCACTTGGCCTGAACTTTATTTTCTGTACTTGTGATATCGTAAAATAAAGCTAGCACTTCGTGCTTATGTAATTATATAGTCGAGTGTACTGTTTTCTTTTACATGAATTTTCTTCACTGTCTGGAATTTATCAGTACCCAACCTGGTCGCAAAACTTCTGTTTTCTTTTGCATGCTATTTTTCTTGAAATTCTATAGTGGAACTATCCAGATATTAACACTTGACAATTGTCTTTGTACAGATGGGCGCGGCAGCTGTCAACTTGGTTCCTGGAGAGAAACCTGCAGATATCTACTCAGAAATAGCTGCTAGGTGCCTCCCTCCCCCTCTCTAATTTCCGTATGCACTACATTTGTGGATGCCCCCCCCCACCCCCCACCCCCACGGAAGGATCAACCAACATCGCTTACATCTTCCAGTTGTTCAAAACAGCTCCACATGTCTATTTTGATTATATTTCTGAGCTATTTATGTAAGTCGTTATCATAACTGAATTTTATCATGTAGGAACTACTAGGAAATATATTTTATATGTCTTAGGGAAAACTTTTACCTTTACCATTAAGTTACCTTCTTTTATTAGATCAGGCGACAAGTATTTGCCTTCATTAAAACACAAGCTGTGACAATTGTGCGTGAAGAAAAACAAATCCATGAAGTTATATGTTTGACTTCTTGAAATAAATGTAGCTGGCTGTGACTAAGGAACCTTTCTGTAATTCTAAAAGAAACAACAGGCTCTAGCAACATCTCGTTTTTATAATTTTATTTGGAAAGAACACTAAGGTACCATAGGGAGGGCAGACCTTGAACCTGAACGACCGCTGAGGCTGTTGCCACACCCAGTTCTCCTTTCCAATTATTAATTTGCCTTAATAGAGTATAGTATTTAGCTTATTTGTCATCTAACTGTTAACTCAGTTTTTAGATTATTTACTTCATAACGCTTTTCCCTAGTGCCTAGTGGAACTCAGTAATTAATAATGTTTTGGCATAAACTTGACTGAAGGGTATTGGATGTTGTACGGGAAGACTCAATGAAAGATCCTGCTACTGACCCAAGTGTTCCATTAGCAAAGGTTTTAGTTGATGAGGTTAGCCTTCTTTCTGTGCTGCTCTGCCTCAATCAAGAAATATTCTTCTTTGTGTACTTTTTTTTTAACAAAACAGTTGAGGACCTGGACATTGGTAGCTTACAGGTGGATAGGAAGCTGGTCAAGCAGACAGTGATGACGTCAGTTTATGGTGTCACATTTATCGGTGCTCGCCAGCAAATTATGAAGAGGCTTCAAGAGAAAGGACACATTACAGATGACAAATTGCTCTATGATGTGTCCTGCTATGCTACCAGGGTAAGTACTTCATTTGCATCTGACAGACTGGCGATTTTTGTGACTCCCTATCATTGTTAAAGAAGGCACGCCTAGGCTCTAGGTGATAGCAAAACGCCTTGAGCTTAATCGTGCTAGGTGTGCACAGCGTGTGCTTTGGTGAGAAAAGCACAAGGTGGTGGCAAAATACACAATTAATGCCTAGCGCATTCTTTTTCGTTGCTCCCTATTGATTGCATTGGAGAGACAAGGACATGCTGTAACTGTTGTTTCTCTGATGAAGGTAACTTTGGATGCACTAGGACAAATGTTCCAATCTGCCCGTGCTATAATGGCATGGCTTGGTGACTGTGCAAAGGTATATGATATATTCTGTTCTGAATCATAGTTTTTTCAATTTTAAAATTTGACAGACATCCCAATGTAATGTGTGGCATTGCATTTTCCTTTGTACAATAATCTTGGTAGTTGAGTTGAGTTATCAAAAGGCTCTGACAGTGTTTCAATTCTTCATAGATGATTGCTTCAAAAAATCAACCAGTCAGATGGACGAGTCCTGTTGGTCTTCCAGTTGTGCAGCCATACAAGAAATATAAAAACTATATGGTAAGCTACCTATCAACTATTGCACATATATGTGCATTTTTTTTTTGTATATCTACACTAAACAAGCAGTACACATGGATACTCGATTTGTTTTGGTTATGCTTGCTCACTTTTCTTCGAAGGAGCATATTTGCTCATTTGTGTAAATGTCATGTTAGTTATGCACCTTTCGAAACATCACTGCAGTGTGAGTTGAAGAGCACTATTGGTTCATACATGAAAATAAACATGAGCTAATTGTATGATCTGGACCATATTTTTTTTGACTGAATCTGGACCATATTTGTTTTAATTCTCATAATCCTTGAAAAAGGTGTCCAACATTTGGAAGGAGCATTCTAGGAAGGATTGAGATGCATTCAAGTTAAAATATTTAATTGCCGCGAGACAATGTTCTACTATTTTGTCTTCGTTACCACTTTATGAACACTATTTGTGTTATTTATTTCAATATCACCATTATCGTGCAGATACGAACTTCTTTGCAATGTCTGGCTTTACGACGGGAGGGTGATGCAGTAAGTAACTTTATTCACTTACTCCTTGCTTATTCCAACTATCATGGTTAATTTTTGCTGTCATTAAATTTTAGATTGCAACCCAACGGCAAAAGGCAGCTTTTCCACCGAATTTTGTCCATTCTCTTGATAGTTCACATATGATGATGACGGCAATTACTTGCAAGGAGGCTGGTCTTCATTTTGCAGGTATTTTCTGATTCTGGTTCCATTGCTAGCACAAATATTTTAGTTGCAAACCTCCTCCCAGTACCAACCAACCTTAAGCTTTCACTTCAGTGGAAGTGGAATGAACTGGATTGTTGTCTTTGATCTACTGCGTTTAGCCTTATTTTTTCAAAGGATACATTTAGCTAAAATTCGACATTGCCTTCTTTAAGCTTCATCTTTATATCAAAATGTCCATATTGGCCTTTACCAGCCCTTTAGAAAAATGTTATACCTGCTACTGGTTTTGTATCCCAGCAGCAGTAGCTACCTTTTACATTTTTGGTTATTCCATGCATTGCCACTGAGGCAAGGTGTTCTGTTCATATATAATACTCCCTCCGTCCCAAAATAAGTGTCTTAATCTTAGTATAAGCTTTGTACTAAAGTTAGTACAAAGTTGAGACACTAATTTTGGGACAGAGGGAGTATATCAGATAGGAATAAGCTTGATGTAAAACAAAGTTTCTGGTGAATCATGGATGTCAGCTTCCTTTTCTTGCTGTTGGGTAATGTCCTATGATCTAAAAACGTCCTATATTTTGGTAGAGGGAGTACTTGTTTAAATTCTCATAAGTGTTCAGTCAGTAGTGCTAATTGTTGGTTCCAGTATATTTGCGCAAATCAACTAGCATAGGATTTTGCTAAAAAGGGCCCACAATCCTCAAATACACTTGCTTGCCTATTATTCACACAACAAGAGTAAGGTCCTGTTAGGGTCCAAATATGACGAGTTGATCAGGATCCAAGCTCTCTTGAGAGCATACGGTGTAATTTTAGTGTGAAAGAATCTAGTCACGATCCCTTTGTATCAAACAGCCAATAGATAATGCAAATTAAGTCGATGTTGGATGTTGACTTCAAAAGCTTTGTGCTTTCGTTACTTGTGCTTATGATGCTTGTCCGTAAGCAATTTATGTTGCCTTTTGCTGATGTGTTTTGGCTGCAGGAGTGCATGACTCATTTTGGGTGCATGCATGTGATGTTGATAAAATGAATCAGATCTTGAGAGAGCAATTCGTGGAGCTGTATAGCATGCCAATTCTTGAAAATGTATGCCATCGGATTTTATCCATTGTCTTTGAAGCAATCCATACTTTGTTCTTCAGCTGCATCAGTAGATTATTCTCTAATGCTCTTTTTCTTATATTGAATCCAGCTATTGGAAGAGTTTCAGACATTATTCCCAACAGTAGAGTTTCCTCCCTTCCCAGCACAGGGGAATTTTGATGTGAGAGAAGTTCTCACATCTACCTATTTCTTCAACTAAGCTCACTGGGAGAGTTATACGTAACGTGTCACGAGCTCGCCGTGGTCGAATAGCTGAATTGCCTGATCATTATTCACAAATCACAACATGATGGTCGTGCGGCAGCCAAAGGCGGATGGGCCATGAAGGTGAGTGTTGCAAAATCTTTGGCATAAGAAGCATTACAGCAGCAGGCCATTGCAACTCAGCCTTGGGGCACACCTGGAGAAGCCTGAATGGTTTGTTGGCATAGGCGAATCAACTCGTCGAGCCCTAGAAGCCATGCCAAATGGTAACAAGCCTGAACTGAACAAGCCTCAAGTGGTTGGTGCTGATGATTTTTTGGTTGACGCAAGATCTACAAGGATGTGAAGTTCAATTCAGGCGCTGGCTACCATTATTCAGGCCAAGGTAAATTATGAAATAACGAGTTATCAACTTGTGAAGAGTCCAGTCTTGCTGATGCTGCTGATGATGCTGATCAATTTTACCATAGATGAGAGTTCGAACCCTAATTTTACTGTGTATACGTTTTTTGATCTCTTAGGATTTTTGTAGCCGATGGCCCTGCATGCGCTGCACCATCACCTTGTAATAATGTGTAGAATCCGGGCACCAAACAGAAACCAAAAAGTGTATATGAGATCCATAGATGCTGTTGACATGAAATAAAAATGTACATGAGAAAACTTTTGACTCTACTATATTGCACTAATCTTTGGTCTCCTTGATGATGTTGTTCCGGTATGTAACTATGATCATGTGGTGTTGACTCTTGTGCTACAGCTTTACTACAAACATGTTGTTCGAAGTTTGAACGAATTTGGATCAAATTATTTTTGAGCGTCTCTTTTGTTTTTGGAAATAGTACTAATGAACCAAACACTAACACACATGCGAAGCGTGCCTACACTTCAGTCGAACACTACGAGCTTCTCGTACATGGGCCGGGCCTTGTCCATGACGGCCCTGGGCGACGGGGTGTAGTCGCCGCCGAGGAACAGCTTGAGCATGTTCTTGGAGAAGCCGCTCACCAGCGCCACCCCCTTCTGCTCCGCCGTCACCGGCACCGACCGCGAGCCCCGCAGGTTCCAGAACACCACCTGCGGCACGGCGTCGCCGTACCCGGCCTCGGCGTACTTCCTCGTGATCGCCTCGTAGTCCGTCTCCCACGGCCTCGATGACGCCTCGTCGAACTCCATGTCGCTGAACACGAACACCTTCCTCACCATGCTCTCGGGCGGCAGGTTGCCGGCGACAGCCACGCGCAGGAGCTGGTCGAACACGGCCTGCAAGTCGGTGTTCATGCCCCACTCCATCTCGCGGATGAACTCCGCCTTCTCCGACAGGGTCTCGCCGCGGATGCGGTGCAGCTCCGGCGCCGCGCTGAAGGTGACCACGCGGTGGCGCCACGGCTCGTCGCAGAGCTCGGAGAGGAGGAGCCCGAGCGCGACGCAGGCGTCCATGGGGACGCCGTGCATGCTGCCCGACACGTCGCACACGGCGAGGCAGTTGTTGAGCTTGCCCAGCGCCAGCAGGTCGTCCACCATGCGCTTCCACTGCAGGTCGGCGACCGCGTCCTCGCCGTCGACGGCCGACTCCAGGATCTTGTGCGGCAGCAGGGCGCCCGCCGCGATCTTCTTCTTGCCCGACTTGACGTCGGCGAGGTAGCCGCTGAAGCGCTCTTGGTCGTAATAGGCGAACTGGTCCTTGTAGTTCTTCATGGCCACGGACGCCACGCGCGTGTACACCACTTCCCCCCACTCGCCCGCCGACATGAAGGTCTCGGGGAGCTCGAGGGCATGGCGCAGCGGCACGTACGCCTCCTTACGGAGGCGCTCCCGCGCGCGATAGGCGTAGTGCGCGTCCGGCAGGTCCTCTGCCAGGTCCGGCGCCGAACACTTGGGGAAGAGGCGGCGCGCGATGGCCTCGCAGATCAGCGTGGAGCGGTCGTAGCTGCTGTTAGACTGTGTATAGCTTCTGTATTTGTGTATCCGTTCCAAAATAGATGACTCAACTTTATACTAAAGTTAGTACAAAGTTGGGTCATCTATTTTGGAACGGAGGGAGTACCTATTGTAACACACCCATTATATATATAAGATAAGCCACCCCTAGAGGGTTGTGCTGGTTCCTTCCAAAACTTATTGTTTTACATGGTATCACGCTAGGTTACGATCGCTTCCGCTCAAAACCCTAATACCCGCACCGCCGCCGCCGCCGCTTTCGCCGCCGCGCCAGGCCATGCCCAAAACAGGGCACGGGCACGCGCGGCCTGGGTTACGCCGTATCTTTCTCCGTATCCACCGCGCCCTCCCCAACGGCACGCGTCGAATGCGGCGTCGTGGGAGAGATCGTAGGTGGTTTCTTTATTCGGAAGGGCGAAACGTCCGCCCCCTCCCTCTTTATAAGCAGGGGAAACAGGGATAGTTCGCCCATCCTGCCGGTTGTTACTCCATTTCCCAAATCTCCGCCGCTCCCCCCTTCTTCTCGAGAGCAGCGCTCCGCCCCCCATTGCCACCAGCACCACCAACGCCGTCGATCTCCCCCACCACCTCCGCCATGGCTCCGAAAGCCGACAAGGGGAAGGGCGTGAAGTCGGTCGAGGCGCAGCAGCTCGCGGCGCTGCGATCGTGCCGCCGCCGCTTTCGCCGCCACGCCACCGATCGCGCCGCCGTCATGTCGAGCGCCGCCACGACTGGTTCCACTGCCGCGGGACTCCTCCCGGCCTCCCTTGCGGCTCTCCTGAACCTCCCGTTGGACGCCGTCGCCCTCCCGGCCCCGCTCGGGACCCGGAGCATTGGCTCCGTCTACTCGACACCGCCGGCGCCCTCGCTCGGGCGCGCCCTCGCGGTCTACACCGCGGCGACGTCGTCCGCCACCGACCCTGCGGGCGTTGCCCCGCCGCTCCTGCCGGCAGCGCCCGACACCGCCCCGATGGAGGGGTTTGCGGCGTCCGCCCCGGCCGCGGTGCTGCCTACCGCCGCACCGACTCCGGTGCCTCCGGCTGCCTCCATGGTGCTTGCACCCCAGGCAGCCTCCTCGATGGGACCGTCATCACCACCGTCGTTTCACTTCGGTCATCTCATCACCATCAAGCTCTCCGCCGACAACTACATCTTCTGGCGTGCGCAGGTTCTTCCGCTCTTGGGGAGCCATTATCTGCTCGGCTATGTCGATGAATCTCTTCCCTGCCCCCCGCACTGGTGGACAGCGTGCACGGTCCGGTCTACAATCCGGCCCATCGCGTCTGGACGGGGCAGGACCAGGCGAACCTCTCCTCCATCCAGGGGTCGCTCTCGCCGGCTGTCGCCGGGCTTGTTGTTTTCGCGAAGACGTCTCATGAGGCCTGGACCATCCTTGAGCGCACCTTTGCGGCGCAGTCTCAGGCCCGTGTCTCTGCACTCCGTCGTCAGCTTGGCGAGTGTCAGAAGCTTGACTCCACTGCCACCGAGTTCTACAATAAGGTCAAGGGCCTCGCCGACACGTTGGCCTCCATTGGACAGCCCCTCACCGACTCCGAGTTCAACTCGTTTATTGTCAATGGTCTTGATGAGGAGTATGATGCCTTAGTCGAGATCATCAACGAGCGGGGCAACTCGACACCCATGCTGGCACACGAGGTTTTCTCCCGCCTCCTTCTCACTGAGCAACGGGTCGAGACACGCCGCTCATGGGGCAATGGCTCCCTCTCGGCCAACGCTGCCACCAAGGGTGGTCGCTCTTCTTCATCATCCCGGGCTCCTTTGGGGCTGCCACCACCGCCCGCCTCGGCTCCCCCTCCTACGACATTACCAGGGTCTGGCGGTCCGCGTGTGTGTCAGCTTTGTGGCCGCGATGGGCACTGGGCCTCCAAGTGCCACAAGCGCTTCCAGCGAAGTTTCCTTGGTCTTGGCAATGACGGCAAGGATACACGCAACAATGCCCGTTAGGTCGCCATGGCTGATCGTCCGGCGCCGCAGAAGCAACAGGGACACACTCACTATGTATCTTTTGGTATATGTCGATGATATTATCCTTGTCAGCTCTTCTCAGTATGCTGCTGATGCTCTTGTCTGCTCTCTTGGTGCTGATTTTGCGGTCAAAGATCTTGGGAAGCTTCACTACTTTCTTGGAGTTGAGGTCACTTCTCGTATTGATGGTCTTGTGCTTACGCAGAAGAAGTACTCCTTGGATTTGTTGCAGCGAGCTGGTATGCTGAAGTGCAAACCGACTACCACACCCATGTCGTCTACCGACAAGATCACAACTGTTGATGGTGAGCTTCTGTCTCCTGCGGATGCCACAGAGTACAGGAGCATTGTTGGTGGGCTTCAGTACTTGACGATCACGAGACCAGATATCTCTTATGCTGTTAACAGGGTTTGTCAGTATCTTCAGGCTCCTCGAGACACTCATTGGGCTGCTGTTAAACGCATTCTTCGTTATGTTCAGTTCACGGTGACATTTGGGATGCATATTCGGCCGACTTCCTCTCGGGTTCTTTCGGCCTTCTCTGATGCAGATTGGGCTGGCAGTCCAGATGACAGGCGATCCACGGGGGGTTATGCAGTGTTCTTTGGCTCCAATTTGATCGCCTGGAGTGCTCGGAAATAGGCTACTGTGTCACGTAGTAGTACTGAAGCTGAGTATAAGGCTGTGGCTAATGCTACTGCAGAGATCATTTGGGTGCAGTCTTTGCTTCAGTAGTTGGGTTTGTCTCAATCGCAGCCTCCTATCCTTTGGTGTGATAACATCGGTGCTACATATCTTTCTGCAAATCCGGTATTTCATGCCCGAACGAAACACATTGAAGTTGACTATCACTTTGTACGGGAACGTGTGTCGCAGAAGCAACTCCAGATCAAGTTCATCTCTTCTAAGGATCAACTTGCAGACATCTTCACTAAGCCTTTACCTCTACCACAGTTTGAGGCTTGTAGGCGCAATCTTACCCTTCTCAGTTCTTTAGAAAGTGGCTAAGATTGAGGGTGGGTGTTAGACTATGTATAGCTTCTGTATTTGTGTACGTATATTGTACCTATTGTAACACACCCGTTATATATATATGAAATAAGCCACCCCTAGAGGGTTGTGCTGGTTCCCCCCAAAACTTATTGTTTTACAGCTGCTGTCCACCGACGGGCACCATTTCCCGGCCAGCGAGAGGTTGATGTTGCCCTCCGAGAGCTTCTTCATGTCCTCGGCGAGGAGGTCGGCGAACATCTCTGCCGTCATGTCGTGCAGGAGGCGGTAGTTCTGGTCCCGGCCGTACCTCTCGACGGCCGTCGCCGCGGTGTCCGCGCGCTTCTTCCGGCGCTCGACGGTGGCCTGGGCGGCCTCCTCCAGATCACGCTTCTGGCTAGCAGCAACGCACGCCTTCATCGTGCGTTTCTTCTCGCGGCGCTCGAGCTCCGGCACCTCCTTCCTCGGCTCGCTGTGCGCCATACGCAATCGAAGGCGGGCGATGAGTCCTCCTCCCTCGGCGGCGAGGCGGGCCTGCTTCCCCGGGGTCCTGGTGGAGGCGCCGCCGTGGATGATGCGGTGGAGGATCTCGGGGAGGTCCTTGAGGTACCCGAACTCGGCGACGGGGCACGCGTTGAGGGCGAGCGTGGCGGGGTGGGAGCCGTGCATCCAGAGCGCGGCGGCGTAGAACCCCTCCCGGTCCGACTTGCCGGTGCCGCGCACGGCGCGGAGGTTGCAGGCGAGGCGGAGCGCGGTGGCCGGCTCGGCGGCCCAGGCGCTGGCGATGAGGGACGACACGGTGTCGGCCGGGGTGCCGGGGACGACGTGGAAGAAGAAGTCGAGGCAGGGGTCGCCCGAGGTGGCGAACGTCGGGGAGTTGTTCTCCATGCGCGTCTTGGGCGGCGGCGGCGGCGGGGGCGGCTTGTTGAAGTTGGCGTCGAGCAGGTCCACGAACGGGTCGCCTGTGGTGGGCTTCGCCGCCTTGGCCGCGCTCGCGACCACCGCGGCGAGGCTCTCCGCCGGTGGGCCGCGCAGGGTGTAGGAGACGGCCCTGCGGCACGCCGCGGCCGCGGCCGCCATGGAAGATCGATGGGTTTGGTCTGGTGTGCGTGACAGCGTGAGGGTTTTGGCTCTGGGTTTTTGGGGGGATTTTGATCGTAAATAGCGTGGTTTGTTGGGGAGAGACGGATTTTGCGGGGGATCGCGCGCCATTTGCTATGGAAGGTTTCGTTTTGCTAATTAAACCTGCTGATCCTTATCTTTTTCTAGGTTTAACGTTGTGCTTTATTTAAGAAACGTAGCTCGGAATGTCATTCGAAATTACATCCAACACACGCTGTCGGGGATCCCCAGCCAAACACTACAAAGTTCATCACCTACTCCAACTTTAGCTAATTTGTGCGCGGCAACATTCGAAGAACGACTAACTCGGGAAACCTTGAAATCGCTTCTTGTACTCAACATCTGCTTGATCTCTCTGATCCAAGGGCATGACCTGTGCGTGTAAGCATATGTAGCACGGCCAAACTGTCCAGCTGAACATGCACTCTGTCGACATTCATGTCGATTGCCAGTTGCAGACCCCTCCCGCAAGCCAGAATCTCTGTCGCCTCAGGGTCATCGATATTAGGGAAATGATGGCTCAGACTCGCAAGGAACGCTCCATTGTGATCCCGTAGGACCGCACCCCCCCTTTTGCCACCAAACTCGGATACAACCCCATCAGAGTTCAATTTAATCCACCCCTCCGGCGCAACCCACCTCTGAGCTTGTCTGGAGACCGTTGGTCGCTCCTTTGGCAGATGAACGTTCCTCCATTCCTGCATGTGGAACATGACATATTCCATTATTTCATGTGGAGGGGCGATCCTCTTCCCATCTCTCGCCTCATTTCTAGCTAGCCATAAACCATAGGTAGCCTGGATCATTGCTTCTTTCTTGTCACCAGCCGCGCCCGCAAACCACTCCAGCAACCAGCGAGTGAGGGCGCCCTGGGTTTCCACAGTGATCGGTGGAGCAATCACCGTGACACCCTTCTCCGAGCGCAACAGCCACCAAAAAAGGGTTGAGTGTTGGCATGTCTAGAACCTGCGCAAGATTGATTCCTCTCTCCCGCAAGCAACACAAAAAATGCCCTGCTTGATCTATCTTCTATGAAGCTCGGCACCTACTACAAGGCCATTTCTGATCATCCTCCACATGTGAATTTTCACTTTCCCTGGAGCGTTAGTATCCCACAGCACCATATACGCGTTATGCTGATCAACTGAAGATGAAGCTTCGGCCTACCCTGATCTTGCTTTTCTCATAGACATCCGCAGATGATACGCGGACCAGACACTAAAGACCCCGGTTTTGGTGTAATTCCACGGCAGGTAGTCATCAGACCCGGGACCTATCCCCAAAAAGCATCACAACCTGAGAAAAATCTCAGCCCCCTAAATCTAAAAAACTCTGATGTCAGCAGCTAACCATGTGACTACTACTGCATTTCATCAAAATCACATTTCAAAATGTAAAAACATGATTTGGTACCGCCTATACTTAGCCACAAAAAGCATCACAACTCAGAAATATGGGCCCCCAACCTCTAAAATCTCACCCCCTACCACTAAAATCTCGACTATAAAACCCTAGGTACAACTGCGACCCAAATTCATCTACTACCACTATAAAAGAAAGAGAGGGGCAGATCCAAACAATCACATCCATCCATCATCAAAATCTAATGGCTCTTAATCATTTTGTGTTTAACGCTATCAACCACGCAGCAAGCCACGCTCGATCAATCGCTAATCTGCCCGCAGAAAACCGCCCGCCCGCACGACCTCCTCCTTCTGTCGCACAACCTCCTCTCCTCATCCTCCCACGCCGTTCGCCTCGCGCCGCCTTCACCGCCACCTCGCGCCGCCGGAGCCACGGGAAGCGGCCGCGGGTCGCCGGGAGCCTCCCCAGCCGCG